CTCCGCCAGCCCCTCTGCAGGTGGTGGCTGCTGCCTGTGACAGTGAAATCTCCATCTCCATGGGGATGAAGCCACCCAGGAACCAACCTTTGCAGATGAGGTCCTCCCAGCCAGCAGCTTCTGCAGCTCTGGCCAATGATCACAGCTCTGGTTCCTGCTGCTGTTAGTTCTGCTGTCCCACTTGACAGGGGATGGCAATACCCACATGCCCTCCAGGCAGTTGCTGCTGGCAACACTGCATTTCAGTGCAGGGATGGGAAAATAATCCACTGAGTTGGACACCTGCAGCTCTGCCTGACTCCTCCACAAAAACTGGTCCCACTAGGACTGGCTCCAGGGCTTGCTGGAGGAGATCATGGTCGAGTTGAAAGGAATTGAAGATCAACTAGACCAAACCCTATCTCTCCTCCTGATCTTTCTCCTCCTTCTCTTCATTATCAGAGGATCCACAAGGTCCCCCCAGCCCTGTTCACGCCCCTGTTCCCGCTCCACCCTCCCTGTCCCCCTAGACACAGCTGGGTCCTGAGGGCTCCAACCTGCAGCTGGTTGTCTCAGGCCTGTTGTCTGCACCAGGACCACTGTGCATCCACCAGGTCAGCAGTCCCATGGCAATGGGGATATGGCAGCAGCTGCGGACAAAGCCGGGCTGGGGCACCCGCGCTCTGGCGAGGAGCTGGAGAGAACGGGCAGGTGGGTGTCCAGAAGGACGAGGGTGGTGGGAGGTGCAGCAGGATGCTGAATTCTGGGCACAGTGCTGGCTTCCCAAGCACATACGGCCACCGTATCCAAATGACTCTAGACTGGTGTCTCCCAGAGAAGGGACTGTTCCCTGCCCTGCAGCTCTCTCAGGGGGTGATGGCTGGCTGCAGGTGGCTGCTCTGAGATCTCCCTCTAAGGCTTTTCGGTGGGCTGCTGCGAGACATCCAAAGGAAGGCACGGTGGTACGGCAGCGACTTCTCCGATGCCTTGCACCCCCAGTGTCTCTCGGCAGTGCTCTACATCTACCTGGCGACGGTCACCAATGCCATCACCTTCGGGGGCATGCTGGGGGATGCAACGGCCAACATGCAGGTCTGTGAGGCCATGGGGTAACCCACACACCCCCGCTTGGACCACTCCATCCACACCACCCCCGCTTGGACCACTCCATGGGTGTCCTAGGTGCCCATCTCCCAACAGTGCCTGGGGAGTCAGTGGTGTTGCCAGGGCATCCTGCGCATCGCCCGAATCCTGCATCCTTCCCACCTTCTGCACTGACCCTGCACCCTGCAGTGTGGGGACATGCAGGCAGCTGCCTGCAGCTGTGCTGCTGTGGGGTCAGGCCTGAGACCCCCATCCCTGCCATGTGCCTGGTGCCTGGTAACCCTCCTCTGTGTTTCAGGGCGTACTGGAGAGCTTCCTGGGTACAGCCTTTGCTGGTTCCATCTTCTGCCTCTTTTCCGGCCAGCCCTTGACCATCCTGAGCAGCACTGGCCCCATGCTGGTCTTCGAGCGCCTCCTCTTCTCCTTCAGCCAGTAAGTGCCCTGCCTGGGACGGTTCCAAGGGCCACTGTCCTCTGGCCAGGGTATGGAACACCATCATGCAAGGCAGGTGTCATTGCTGAGGCCTTGGGTCACTGTTCCCACCAGGGACCACAACCTGGACTACCTGGAGTTTCGCCTCTGGATTGGGCTCTGGGTGGCCTTTTTTGGCGTGGTCTTGGTGGCCACAGAGGCCAGCCACCTGGTGCGGTACTTCACCCGCTTCACCGAGGAAGGCTTCTGTGCCCTCATCAGCTTGATATTCATCTACGACTCCCTGAAGAAGATGTTGAACCTGGCGGACACCTTCCCCATCAACTGGCAGTACCGGCTGGACAATGTTCCCTCCTACAGCTGCATCTGCAACTTGTCCAGCCCTGGTGAGTCCAAACAGCCACGGGACTGGTGACAAGCAGGGATCTGCCACCTTGGGACCCTGCTGAGACCCTGCCACCCATCTAGATGGGGGAAGGTGTTGGAGAAGCAGGAGGTAGTTCAATACCATCCTCACTCGCCTGACCACATCATCCTTGCAGCTCAGCACTGCCCAGGCACTGGGGATGGCAGTGCTGGGAGCAAGGAGAGCCTTGATCTGGCTCCCATGGCTCCAGGATGAGGGATGTCAGGGGCTGCAGGTGGGCAGCTGGGTGGGTTTGCACTGTTGTTTCTGTCCCAGCCTGTAAATCAGAGGGTTTTCGCTGGGGCTTGAAGATGTGTCCACATCAATCCTGCAAATGGGATGCCATTTACCAGAAGCATCAGTGCTGGACACAGCCTGAGGTCGATGGGGCTGCTGGTG